TGGTTTTGGGCTGTTTTTGGGGTGTTTATGGGGTGTTTTTGGGCTGTTTTGGGCTGGTTTTTGTCTGTTTTTGGGCTGGTTTTGGGTTGTTTTGGGCTGTTTTTTGTCTGTTTTTGGGCTCTTTTTGGGCTGTTTTTGGGCTGTTTTTGGGTTGTTTTGGGCTGTTTTTTGGGGTGTTTTTGGGCTGTTTTTGGGCTGGTTTTGGGTTTTTTTGGGGTGTTTTTTGTCTGTTTTTGGGCTGTTTTTGGGCTGTTCTGGGCTGTTTTCGGGGTGTTGCAGGGGGACCTGAAGCGTTACCTGCGGGCGCAGCGGGGGCAGGGTGGGGGAGGGGCGGCCCCTCCCCCGCTGCCCCCCCGGGATTTGGGGACCCTCCAGCGTTTGGCCCTCGAGGTCACCCGGGGGCTGCGGCACCTGCACCGCCACGGATTCGTCCACAGGTACCCAAAAATCCCGGGAATTCCACCCAAAAATCCCGGGAATTCCACCCAAAAATCCCGGGAATTCCACCCAAAAATCCCGGGAATTCCACCCAAAAAAATCCCCGAAAAATCCCGAAAAAATCCCCACGAGAACCAGCAAAATTCCCATAAAAATCAAAAAAAAATTCCCATAAAAATCCCAAAAATCCTGCCCAGAATCCTGGGAATTCCACCCAAAAATCCCAGGAATTTCACCCAAAAATCCCGGGAGTTTCACCCAAAAATCCCGGGAATTTCACCCAAAAATCCCAATTTTCCCCCCAAAATCCCCACGAAAACGGTGAAAATCCCAGGAAAACCCAAATTCCCAATAAAAGCCACAAAATCCTGCCTGGAACCCCCCCAAAATCCCAAATTTCTCCCCAAAATTCCCATTTTTCCTCCCACAATTCCCAATTTTTCCCTCCAAATCCCCATTTTCCCCCCAAAATTCCCAAATTTTCCCTTCAAATTCCCATTTTCCCTTCAAATTCCCAATTTTTCCCTCCAAATCCCCATTTTCCCCCCAAAATTCCCATTTTCCCCCCAAAATTCCCATTTTTCCTCCCACACTTCCCAATTTTTCCCTCCAAATCCCCATTTTTCCCCCAAAATTCCCATTTTCCCTTCAAATTCCCAATTTTTCCCTCCAAATCCCCATTTTCCCCCCAAAATTCCCATTTCCCCCCCAAAATTCCCAAATTTTCCCCCAAAATTCCCAAATTTTCCCCCAAAA